ATATGAAGATCACTACTGTCTTTATATTAATAGCAGAAATTTTTCAAATCGGACATGTAGTTTTCGAGATCCCAACTTTGGTAGGTAAAAAATATTCTAATATGAATATGAAAGATACTACTGTCTTTATATTCATAGCAGAAATTTTTCAAATCGGACATTTAGTTTCCGAGATCCCCCATTTTGGTGGTTAAAAAATATTCTAAGATGAATATGAAGATACTACTGTCTTTATATTCATAGCAGAAATTTTTCAAATCGGACATTTAGTTTCCGAGATCCCCCATTTTGGTGGTTAAAAAATATTCTAAGATGAATATGAAGACACTACTGTCTTTATATTCATAGCGGAAATTTTTCAAATCGGACATGTAGTTTCTGAGATCCCCCATTTTGGTGGGTAAAAAATATTCTAATATGAATATGAAGACACTACTGTCTTTATACTCATAGCAGAAATTTTCGCAATCGGAAATATGAGGTATGAAGACACTACTGTCTTTATACTCATAGCAGAAATTTTCGAAATCGGACATGTAGTTTTCGAGATCCCCCCTTTTGGTGGGTAAAAAATATTCTAAGATTAATATGAAGACACTACTGTCTTTATATTCATAGCGGAAATTTTTCAAATCGGACATTTAGTTTCCGAGATCCCCAATTTTGGTGGGTAAAAATATTCTAATATGAATATGAAGACACTACTGTCTTTATATTCATAGCGGAAATTTTTCAAATCGGACATTTAGTTTTCGGTATCCCCAACTTTGGTAGGTAAAAAATATTCTAATATGAATATGAAGATACTACTGTCCTTATATTCATAACGGAAATTTTTCAAATCGGACATTTAGTTTCCGAGATCCCCCATTTTGGAGGGTAAAAAATATTCTAATATGAATATGAAGACACTACTGTCTTTATATTCATAGCGGAAATTTTTCAAATCGGACATTTAGTTTCCGAGATCCCCAACTTTGGTAGGTAAAAAATATTCTGATATGAATATGAAGATACTACTGTCCTTATATTCATAGCGGAAATTTTTCAAATCGGACATTTAGTTTCCGAGATCCCCCATTTTTGAGGGTAAAAAATATTCTAATATGAATATGAAGATACTACTGTCTTTATATTCATAGCAGAAATTTTTCAAATCGGACATTTGGTTTCCGAGATCCCCCATTTTGGTGGTTAAAAAATATTCTAAGATGAATATGAAGACACTACTGTCTTTATATTCATAGCGGAAATTTTTCAAATCGGACATGTAGTTTCTGAGATCCCCCATTTTGGTGGGTAAAAAATATTCTAATATGAATATGAAGACACTACTGTCTTTATACTCATAGCAGAAATTTTCGAAATCGGAAATATGAAGTATGAAGACACTACTGTCTTTATACTCATAGCAGAAATTTTCGAAATCGGACATGTAGTTTTCGAGATCCCCCATTTTGGTGGGTAAAAAATATTCTAAGATGAATATGAAGACACTACTGTCTTTATATTCATAGCGGAAATTTTTCAAATCGGACATTTAGTTTCCGAGATCCCCAATTTTGGTGGGTAAAAATATTCTAATATGAATATGAAGACACTACTGTCTTTATATTCATAGCGGAAATTTTTCAAATCGGACATTTAGTTTCCGAGATCCCCCATTTTGGTGGGTAAAAATATTCTAATATGAATATGAAGACACTACTGTCTTTATATTCATAGCAGAAATTTTTCCAATCGGACATGTAGTTTTCGAGATTCCCAATTTTGGTAGGTAAAAAATATTCTTAAATGAATATGAAGACACCACTGTCTTTATATTCATCGCAGAAATTTTCGAAATCGGACATGTAGTTTCCAAGATCTCTCATTTTGGTGGTTAAAAAATTTTCTAAAAAGAAAGTGAAGGCACCACTGTCTTTATATTCATAGCAGAAATTTTTCAAATCAGACATTCAGTTTCCGAGATCCCCCATTTTGTTGGGTAAAAAATATTCTAATATGAATATGAAGAAACTACTGTCTTTATATTAATAGCAGAAATTTTTCAAATCGGACATGTAGTTTTCGAGATCCCCCATTTTGGTGGGTAAAAAATATTCTAATATGAATATGAATACACCACTGTCTTTACATTCATAGCAGAAATTTTTCAAATCGGACATGTAGTTTCCGAGATCCCCCATTTTGGTAGGTAAAAATATTCCAACATGAATATAAAAACACTACTGTCTTTATATTCATAGCAGAAATTTCTCGAATCCCACATGTATTTTTCGAGATCCCCCATTTTGGTGGGTAAAAAATATACTAAGATGAATATAAAAACACTACTGTCTTTATATTCATAGCAGAAATTTTTCAAGTCAGACATGTCGATTCCGAGATCCCCCATTTTGGTGGGTAAAAAATATTCTAAGATGAATATGAAGACACTACTGTCTTTATATTCATAACAGTAATTTTTCGAATCGGACATGTAGTTTCCGAGATCCCCCATTTTGGTGGGTAAAAAATATTCTATTATGAATATGAATACACCCCTATCTTTATATTCATAGCAGAAATTTTTCAAATCGGACATGTAGTTTCCGAGATCGCCCATTTTGGTGGGTAAAAAATATTCTAATATGAATATGAAGACACTACTGTCCTTATATTCATAGCAGAAATTTTTCAAATCAGACATTCAGTTTCCGAGATCCCCCATTTTGTTGGGTAAAAAATATTGTAATATGAATATGAAGACACTACTGTCTTTATATTCATAGCAGAAATTTTTCAAATCGGACATGTAGTTTTCGAGATCCCCCATTTTGGTGGGTAAAAAATATTCTAACATGAATATAAAGACACTACTGTCTTTATATTCATCGCAGAAATTTTCGAAATCGGACATGTAGTTTCCGAGATCTCCCATTTTGGTGGTTAAAAAATTTTCTAAAAAGAAAATGAAGGCACCACTGTCTTTATATTCATAGCAGAAATTTTTCAAATCGGACATGTAGTTTCCGAGATCCCCCATTTTGGTAGGTAAAAATATTCCAACATGAATATAAAAACACTACTGTCTTTATATTCATAGCAGAAATTTCTCGAATCCCACATGTATTTTTCGAGATCCCCCATTTTGGTGGGTAAAAAATATTCTAAGATGAATACAAAAACACTACTGTCTTTATATTCATAGCAGAAATTTTTCAAGTCAGACATGCCGATTCCGAGATCCCCCATTTTGGTGGGTAAAAAATATTCTAAGATGAATATGAAGACACTACTGTCTTTATATTCATAACAGTAATTTTTCGAATCGGACATGTAGTTTCCGAGATCCCCCATTTTGTTGGGTAAAAAATATTCTAATATGAATATGAAGACACTACTGTCTTTGTATTCATAGCAGAAATTTTTCAAATCGGACATGTAGTTTCCGAGATCCCCCATTTTGGTAGGTAAAAATATTCCAACATGAATATAAAAACACTACTGTCTTTATATTCATAGCAGAAATTTCTCGAATCCCACATTTATTTTTCGAGATCCCCCATTTTGGTGTTCAAAAAATATACTAAGATGAATATAAAAACACTACTGTCTTTATATTCATAGCAGAAATTTTTCAAGTCAGACATGCCGATTCCGAGATCCCCCATTTTGGTGGGTAAAAAATATTCTAATATGAATATGAACACACTACTGTCTTTATATTCATAGCAGAAATTTTTCAAATCGGACATGTAGTTTTCGAGATCCCCAATTTTGGTAGGTAAAAAATATTCTAATATGAATATGAAGATACTACTGTCTTTATATTCATAGCGGAAATTTTTCAAATCGGACATTTAGTTTTCGAGATCCCCCATTTTGGTGGATAAAAAAATATTCTTATATGAATATGAAGATACTACTGTCTTTATATTCATAGCAGAAATTTTTCAAATCGGACATGTAGTTTTCGAGATCCCCAACTTTGGTAGGTAAAAAATATTCTAATATGAATATGAAGATACTACTGTCTTTATATTCATAGCGGAAATTTTTCAAATCGGACATTTAGTTTCCGAGATCCCCCATTTTGGAGGGTAAAAAATATTCTAATATGAATATGAAGATACCAGGGGCGGCGGGGAGCAATAATAAATTGCTATTAATCGCGAGCGAAGCGAGTGAACAACGTGGGTCCGGGGGCCACGCCCTTTAAAAGGGCGGAAACGCCCATCCTTTACAAGAGGGATACAGATATAAAGTTATCACTGCTCCTAAATGATGGTCTATTTTCCAAAACTAAGCACGTTTCTGAAAAATCCACAAAAATTTCTATTAAGATACGAAATATTTTGAAAAAAAGAAAACATTTCGTCTAAGCTCAAACATTATTGTTGTTTTTATTTTATTTTTACAACAAACGTGTATCGCAAATTGATCATTTTTTCAAGCACATCTATGAAAAAAATTGCAGTTATTTTCTTGAAAATCGTTCGAGCCGTCGCTGATTGCTCTCTCTGAACCTGCTAACAACATTCTGATAAAATGTTGGTTGTTTTGCCAATGATCGCAATGTACCATGCTCAACTTGTAAGAAAACAAGGTGTTCCTTTCTTTCTTGCAGCATTCTTGATCTCGATTCTGAAATCACTCTTTTCATACGGCTGAACACTCTTTCGCAGTGTACGCTTGTGAGTGGGGTCACTGCTGCAACTTCCAGGAGAACCATTGCCTGCGGAAGAGCATCTGCAAGGTCCGTGCTATGTATTACAGTGAGCAGGTCTTGCATACTCAATGTTTCTCCGTGTGCAATGTCTCCCTCAAGACCCGTACTTTCTCTAATTTCAAATTCGTCAATTTCTTCCACGTCTATCACCTCTTCCATCACCTGGTCACCAGAGCTACTTTCCTCGCGATGGCTTGCTTTATTACTTCTGTGCCTTGCTCTCCTTTGCTTCCTGGCTCTGTTCCTTTCGTTCGCACATTTACGAAGAAGCAGCGAGATCTCATGGTTATTGTATAAAACTTCCAAATTGTGTCATGAACGAATTTATGTCATGAACGGCAAATGGGTACAAATCTCCGAATTCTCTGATGAGCTCTTTTATCTCATTAGGAGGCCTTTTGACATTCTCTGCAAACTTGGCGGGGTGAATCAGATCCATCCACTTGAATTTTTTGAGGTTCTCGAATCTCCATGAAATCTGCCCTGAAAACTCGATGCATACTTTTGATGCCACAATCGACAGCTTCTCTTTCCAAGCATCTTCGGATCCATTATTGTGCGTTTCCCTTCCTCTCCATCCTGCTCTGGCTCGTTCTACGGGGAAACTTGGGTCCGCATCGAGTGTAATTTGCCAAATGTCTTCAAAGCTTAGTGCAGCAAGAAAACGTTGGAAGTCGTCGAGCATAGATCTCAGCTGAACAGCATCCAATGTTGGCTTCTGCATAACGGTGATAATTGGCGTGCAATGCTCAAAGATCTTCCTGTACAACTTCAGTAAACATAGAAAGTCAACATTTTGGATGTTGGCAAGAAGACCTCTGGCTGTCGTTTGGGTGTCGACTTTCTCTCTCCCATTCGAAGACATCTGGTATAAGACTGTGCCGATTGTCTCGTAGCACGAATCGATTGCAGTAATGGCTGTGTCTCGAGAAAGCCACCTTGTATCACCAGGCTTTGGAAGATTATATCCAAGGTATCGCGTTCGCTTGGGACTGCTTCGGAAAAACGTTATCAGCTTGTCTAATATTCCAAAGAATTTAGCCACTTCTGGGATTTTCATCGATGACTGCGACGCACAAAGTGACATCCTGTGTGCAACGCAATGGTTGTAGTAGGCAAGTGGAAAGTAATCTCGCATTCTCTTTTGCACACCATTGAGCTCGCCACTCATTGTCGCCGCACCATCATATGATTGTCCAATCAGCTTTCTCTTTCCTGTCTCAGGAGTAACATTGTAGCTCCCTAATATTTTTATCATGATCTTTGTAAGCCCATCAGCAGATTGATCGTCAGATGCATCTGTGAGGCCAAGCAAATGTTCTTCGACATTCCCATCATGAATAAGTCTCACTGAAACAGCCGACTGCTCCGTGTTGCTCAAGTCACTGGTGTCATCCATCATTACGGATAAACATCTGGAAGCACTTACTCGATTTCGAATTTCATTCTGGACTTCTTGGAAAATGCATTTGATCAATTCGTTTTGTGGGTCGTGGGAGGTGTAACTTATCCGTTCCTTGTCTAGGAAAACTCGCAACTCTTGACTGTAGTTCCCTAACAAGTCCATCAATTCAATGAAATTTCCCCTGTTTGGAGAGAATTTGTCTTCAGAATGCCCCCGGAAAGCGAGTCCTTGGGCAGACAAGTAGACTGCAACATCAATATGGTGCTTCATCATCTTTGAATATCTTGATGCATTTTCATTATGTCTCAGAATTTCTCTCTGTCTTGCTTCATCAAGTGCACTGGCCACATCCACATTCCCTAAAAGCTTCTACGAAGCGTGACATGTCATGTGACTTTTTGATTCTTGGTGCCTGTTAGCAACATTCGACAAATTCCTGCCATCAGATGCAAATCCAGTTGGTTGCACGAAGCAAGCCTTCATCTGAAATAAATTATGTGA